GATATCCACGCCAAAGAAATTGGTAGTAAGGTCAGTAGTAAAGGAAAGTGGAACAGATTTATAGGACTGTCAGAGAAGTAGACAGATATGCGACCTCGGGCAGATAGTTTGGTGCAGGATTGACAACTATATGGATGGGGAGGGGTTTGTCCGAATGCGATTATTATGTAGTACATCGGGGCGTCATCATATGGTCAGGTGTGGGTGGGGGGGGGCAATTCAGGAGGCTATTGTTTTGCGTCATCATTCCATGTTGATGTGGTGCTAGGCGAGCAAACTGAAATAAGACCAGTATGACAGGTACTGTTGAACTGGATGTGGCACCTGCTAATTTTGCATTAGCGAGCTTTCTTTTGACGCATAAACTTGGCAGCCCAGAGTAAGTGCCGGCATAATGGATGATTAAGAAGGAGCGAATTTCATCCAGCGCACAACAGGTGTCCGCATGAATAGCATGACCGACCTCCACTTTTATCTTCCTTGATCATCCTTTCCTTCGTTGATACGTCCTCTTTAGATAGCTGAGGGTGGATGTCATGTCAGACAATTGGCGCTGCTGCTGCTCGAACTGTCAAGACTAGAATCACTTTACATAGAGTCCATCGTTCTGCTTCTGGGGTGGGTATTTCTCCCTTGTGTGGCCGATCTTCAGGTCTAAATAACTCGAGAAATAAAGATTTCTGATCTATACTAGAAAGTGTAAAACGTTGGTCTATTAGTGTCGTTGAGCCAGTATAAAACATTCACTCATGAAGAATGGCTATATCATTATCACCAGTTGAATGAACTCACTTTGCCGCTATTAGTTGAAGCTATCGTGGAGACATGAACCTCCGGCAATGACCTTTGAATTGTCCAATCCGGGCATAAAAACTTCCCTACTTTATTCAATTTTAGTTCACAGAGAGCTTTGAGGGGCGCTGTACCATTGACCGAAGTTAAAGCAATGATGTCTAGGTAGGTCCGACTGTGAAATGCCGAGACAAAAGCTAACTTGAGACGATAGCCAAAAAAGTAAAACAATTGCCCATTTGAGCAAAACTTTTGAGTTCCAAG